AAATATACACAAATGGAAGAGTTCTGAAATAATGGTGTTTTTTTGTTTTTGTTTTTTTTGGTAGTTTTTCGTTTTGGTGTTTTTGGTATTTTTGGTTTTGGTTTTTTGGTTGTGTTAAGGGAAGGGGGTTGTTTTTTTAGGGTTTTTAATCATAGCAGCCCCTGGGAGCAAGAATTGACAATGATATTGTCGAAAAGGCATACCTGAATTGCCGGAAACGCAACCGGAGAATTTACATGGTACGGCAAACTCGCCCCATGTCGTGTGCTTTTTTAGCTTCAACTGTAGTGTTCGAAGATGACACGGATCTAAAGATATGGCATCGAGGTACTATAACTGACACTTGCAGTTAAATTAAATAACGACTATCGCTTTAACCTGTATTCTCTAGAACAACTTCAGTTCCAAATGCAACCATATTTCGCCCACCATATTTGCCCAATTCTGTATGTTGCACGAGAAGTTAGTCATCGGGGAATTAGACAACAAATATAAGGACAGGATACCTGTAAAGTTATTGTTGGAGACTGCAAAGCTGTTTAGAAACACTCGGTGCTATGTATGTTTCTATAACTTATTATGGTGTTATCCCTTCATTTTAATGTGTCAGTTGTCTTTCCTGAACATGTATTACATAATGCCCTATGTTCTAGTACAAGCGGTTTCAGTTGGTATGAACACTGGAGTGTAGCTTTTCGCCGTACTGTGCATTTAAGTTGAAGTGGCCAGCCCTACAAACAGACTCATTCTCATACTTAAGGTTTTAGGATATGAAACAGAATATACAGTTTAGATATACCTAACAAGTATAATACCTCGATGTCCATGTTTAGTGTGTGCCATTTCTTGTATGCGCAAAAGTTAAGGACAAATATTAATACAAAGAACTGAACTTCCAGGGTCTGTTAACTGCTACTGATATGGCTTGAGATTCGCTGTTGTGATTTGCCCAATAAGCTGCTTACTAGAATTACTAGAACCAGTACAGTAGAACCTTAAAAGCGTACATGTTTGAATAAGGGCCAAAATAGCCTGGAGATGTCTGGATACAGTTAAGTTTATTTATGGAGTGCTTTACTACCAGTTAGTACAGGCAGTACACGTTTCCATTCGGTTCGTTTCTGTTTTTAGAGGGAGCGTTCAACTGCGGTTCGGTTCTGTGCGGTTCGCGGTTCTTAGCGTTTCTTGTCTTTGCGGTTCCGCGGTTCGCGGTTCTCGACAACCTCCAGCCGCCTTCCTCCACAAAAGCCACCCGCCTCCAGCCTCCCACGCCCCAGCCACCAGTCCAGCCACTCCAGCCACCCGCCAGCCGCTCCAGCCATCCTGGCGGCTGGTGCCCAGGTGGCTGGGTGATTGGAGGAGTGGCTGGTTGGAGTTGGCTGGAGAGGCGGGGCTGGAGGCGGGGCTGGCTGATGCTGGCTGGTAGCATGTGGCTTTGAGGGTGGCTGGTCTGGTGCCTGTTGGCTTGGGGTTGGTGGCTGGCGGCTGGAGGGTGGCTGGCAGGAAGCTGGTGGCTGGTAGCAAGAGGGTGGCTGGTGGCTGCTGGCGCGTGGCTGGCTGGAGGGCTCGTGGCTTTGAGGGTGGCTGCTGCGGGGTGGGTGGCTGGTGGCTAGTGGCTTGAGCGTGGCTCGAGTGTTTGCTGGTGGTTGGGGGCTGGAAGGCTGGCTGGAGGTGGATGGCGGCTGAGGCTGAGGGTGGCTGGTGGCTCTTGGCTCGTGGGTCTGGTGGCTGGAGGGTGCGTGTTTGTCTGCGGCTGTGGGTTTTGTCTGCAGAGGCAGGAGGCAGGCAGCTAGAGTAGCTAGAGGTAGGGTAGAGTGGCTGGAAAGCACCCCCAAAACCAAACCCAAAACCGCGGTTCCGGTCTGAGCGGTTAGTGTTGTTCGCGGTTCCGATTTGAGCGTTTACGGCTTCAGTGCGGTTCTTTGCGGTTCCATACAGTCCCCGGTTCCTAAGCGGTTCGGTTCAGCGGTTCCGGTTCGGTTCCGCGACCTTCCTGGTTAATACTCACGAAGAGACAGAAGATTATATTCATCATAGTTGACAATTTTATTGCTACACTGACATACTTACATGGATTACTGATTATAGAGACGTTAGTTATTATGTTGGTATGGGTACACTGAGTCCTCGCAGCAATTCAAGCACAGTATTTGCTGAGCTAGAAATAGTCAGACGTCAGACCTAAGTATAATAATAACAGAAAATTAACATAAAATGTTTGTCGTCTGCCAATTAGATATACATATATATATATATATTCACAGTTGTATTTCTACAGATAATGGTATACATCAAAGAAAGCGTATTTTATTAGGTGTAGAAGCAGCATATATTCTTTTCACAACTACATAGATAAGTAACCGAGTAGACTAAATCCTCGGACCTCTTCAGGCGGATGTTTTTAACTAATATCAAATCCAACTTAAATATGGCAACGATATAGTGCATTTAGCAGCCTTTCCAACAAGTGAACCGAACACGTAGTGATTTTACAATGATTACAAATTAGTCACTTTACTGCGGGCAGGGATACTGACATCATACATTCATGCATAGACGACATTAGATATAACAATATATGATCGTCAGTACATAGTGCGATAGATTGAACCTTCGAATATGTTCACGATATTCCATCTAATACCATTATCTGAGTAAAAGCTGTACTTAGTTAGAACATGAAGTTTTAGAGACGCTTAAAACGAGTCGGGTATGTCCATGTTGCAACGTTCTCATTGTATTCCTTGTGACCCATACACACGTATTACACGTATTCCTAAATATATGCAAAACACAGGGGTAGACTTCGACCCTTGAACCGATACCAAGACGCATTCCTGCCCAACATTGCCACAAGGTGAGATGCGTTGTCTGACCTGCAACTGCATCAGTACGAACTGCTTTTAATAATTATGCCTGCAGTAGCAGCGGTGAGCCCTGCCTAATTTGTTCCAGAGCACAAGCCATGGATGGGACAGTGATCGTTGAAATTCAGAGGGCTTGTGGCTTGTCCAACTCCGAATATCGCCTTTTCGACGTAACAAGCCGGATTCTGGGCTGTCGCAGAGTGAGGCCATATGTGAACTGCAAGCTCCAGTGGGGGACGGCGATGACGGAATCCCGGGGCACTTCCTTCGTTGAGGCTCCTGAAGACGGAAGCTGGTTCAATTGGGGTGGCAGGCTGGAATTTCCGGTAAAGGCCGACTTCTGGCGGGCGTCGCGGTTCTCGATCTCCATGGAGGTGTTAGACAAGAGGGAGCTGCAAGGCACCTTGCGTGGGGACTCTCTAATCGGTACTGGCGCCACTTGGCCGCCCTGACAACCTTTACCTCTACAACGGCCCCTTGCCCCTTGACTTAAGCCCGCAGCTGCTGCAAGCAAGGAAATCTTCTTGGATCCCAACACGGTCGCATCCACACCGCAGCAGGGCATCGAGCTCTTCCGAAATGGCAAAAGTGCTGGCGAGTTGATTCTGGCCGTCCGCATGGAGGCGCCAGACCAGGCTAGAGCCATCATGGCTGCCAGCACCTGCTGTCCTTTGAAGCTTGGCTGTGGAAGCAGATGGTAGTCAGAGAAGTCGTGGTCGCAACACTGACGCAATTTTCTGGGTGTACAAGATGCCCCACTACAAAATGAACTGTCAGGCTCCCTGGTTCGCTGTAGTCAGGGCATACCAACACACGAGGGGCACTGGTGCTGCGCGTAGTCACCTTCGCGGTCGTCGTAACCGCTGCTGGTAGCAGCAGTTGCTGCTGCCGGCACGACGGTGTAGCCCGAGAGGAGTAGACGGTAGATGTGTGTCTTTTCTCCGGCTCAGCTTGTCTCCACGAATCATTGAGCAACCCCTTCCTGGGACTGCTGCATCTACCGTACTGTACTTGCAGCAGGCCCTGCGAATCAGACGAATGTTGAAGAGAAGCGGTAGCGTGGCATAGTCAACCAAGCCTGGCACCTAGGACACGTGTGGTCCATGCCCTCGCACAAGTGCTGCGAGCACCCAATGCAGTGGAATTGCTAATGGCCGCTCGCCCGAACATTCTGCAGCTGTCGGAAGATGCTGAGTCCGAGGCCAGAGGGTTCGGGATGGTAGGGCTGCCGACATGCCGGCTTCGTGTCAGAACGGCTTGCGCATCTGCTTGTGTAAATTGCTTTAGTCGTTTGGTCAGTGTAAATAATAAGTGTCTACATGGCTCCTGGGTAGTACCGGTAAGTGTGCACTCGTCCTCTCCGGGAATTGGTGCAAGACCCTCGTGTCCGCATGACTGGTAATGAAACCCTTGGGCCATGCACGCTCAGTGACTCAACCTGGTAAGACATGCTCAATCTGGACAGGTCCATCGACTGTTGAAAGCCTGGGTGCAGCGTTTCTGTCAGCAGACACTGCAGCTGAGCGGTGTAGAGACGGACGACCAAATCATCAGTGCCTTGTGGAGGCTTGCAAGGTCGGCACAGGAAATTGTTGCTTGCTGCGCCCCAAGCGGTACAGATGATGTCCCGGACATCGTTGTGGCCTGGCTTAAAACGTTTTTTTCGAGCTGCGCCGGAGCAGAAGCGCAGCTCAACGAGGAGCGCCTTCGCAACCTCCTGACCATGCGGGAGCAGACAGGTGCCGGCCATGCCAATCCAGAAGAGGAATTGCTGCAAATGGGAGTCCAAGTCCGCAACCTCGAGAGCAGCATGCTGCCCGCGGTGCTGGCACGATTCCAGGAAGCAGCGCAAGGTTCTGAGGATGAGGTCTTCACTTGCGAGCAGATCGTCCAAGACGGTCGCGCATTGCCAGGGCTGTCTGTCATTTTGCGCAGAAGCCCAGGAGCTGACACAGGCTTTCATGTCTTCATTTATCACACTGTGTCAATCCGTGAGTGGCAGGCAAACTCTCTTATCGATCCCTGCACTCGAGCCGCACTGCGTGCTGAGGATATCCTTCCAGTTAGTTGATACATGCGTTCGTTCAAGCTCGGAAGCTTGAAGGTTTGCTTCAGGATGATCTCTCAGCTGATGGAATAGGAGTAGGAATCTCCCTTGCCTGTTGAGCTTCTGTACAGTTAGAGCCACATTGCAGTTTCAAGTCGTTTAGAACTTGAGAAACCGCATGTCCCCATCGGCTGCAGGCCCTCGAGAAAATCACGAGTGCTGATGTTAAATGCACGGTATGCAACGGCAAGGCATGCCGGCACATGCACCAGCACGTAGGACCGACCTAGGACTCGCGTTTTTTTCCACAAGCAGCCTCTCCGACACTCCAGGCCCAGTCCCGGCTGGATGCGGAGCGTTTGGAGGCTCACAGCTCACCCTAGAAGAATTTGCTCGTGCTTAGATCGATACGACAATTTGGCAACGGATGGGCAATTGCGGCAGCCCACAGGCCCTGCAGCACAGAGAAGCTGTCATTACGGCAGCGCACCAGGAAGCACAGGCACGCTACAAGAAGGCGCTTGAAGAACATGTTAGGCGGTGTTGCAACTAGAGGTGGCTACAGCATGTTGTGCTGCTCGAGGCGACCCGCAGGCACGAGGATTTGCAGAAGCAGCCAAAGCCTGAGGTTGCTGTCGATTGAGCAGCGGATTGAGCACATCCTCCATACTGATATGCCTGCAGGCTGGACAAGGGCAGGGAGTTGCTTGGCCGGAGATGAGCCGAGTTTCGACGCATGCCTTGGCCCAGAGCTCAGGAAGGCGGACATGCTGCTTGGCAAGATCAGCTCGACGGCATCATAGAGCTTGCAGTCGACGACGCTGGGCATGCGTGCAGCTTCGGGATGGCGCCTGCATGGTGGTTCACGGTCTCCAGGTATGTTTTCTTTTATCGGTTTTGCGGGTTATGCACGGTGGGGTTGCGGGTGTAATCAGCGAGAATTGCTTGGCATTGCCTCAGTGTGAGCGTCAAAAGTAACTGAGAATCAATGTAAGGGCTCCGCATCAGAAGCATGTGCTGCTGAGGAGTTCAGCGAGCAGGAAGGTACGATCTGCGGTGGGACCTCACACCACTGCAAACGTGGATGCAATGTATGTACGTGTACTGTAGCCGTACACATCAGGTATATGGTCATAGGCGCCTATGCAGATGAGTCGATTCGAATTTGTATTTTCAATGAGCATAGTCCCGCTAGGTGTTAGTAGTGTTAGTATTCCTATTCTCTATCTAGCCTACAGTCTGATCTAGGTATGATATTAAACTTGAAACCTGACACTTACCCACATGTCGAGTTCAACTTCAGCAGCACCACTGCGCCCATAGGATCTGCAACACTGGGGACGGGGGCGAGCTGCAGTCTGCAACTCTTCGGCCAATGTGCCACGGGAGGGGTGCCGCGGTGCAAAAATCGTGCAGCAATTGGTCGGCGTGTTGGCTGCTACAGATCGATGCTTGCATACAGTGTTCATCCAGCACTCACTTGCTATCGCTTATTGCACTTGCTGAAACCAGGCGCCTGCACCTTGCTGTCCCGTCTGTGCTTCCTGAAATGTATGGCCGCATGGCGGGCTCACGAGCACGAAGGTAGTGCGGCGCAAAGCTGCAGCCATGCTAGTGGAAACGACACCACCGCGGAGTCCCTCGGCTTTGCATCCAATGCCATGCTTTCATGTTGGTGGTTGACTGACTCGGGCTCTGCGCTACGGCACACTTGGAACTGGATGCCTCATGCAGCGCTTGGCTCGAACAGCGTTGCATTGGTGGAGAAGGTTCCGAAAAGCTGGTTGGCCAGGCCCTTCGATGCTTCACTTCGCTGGTAAGCGTCCAAAATATGAAATATGAGTTACGTGTCGAACTTTTGCATCAAACAGCATGGCAAGGTGCAGAAGGCTTTCACCACGACAGAGCCCATGCCACGGCAGAATGGCATATGTATGGATCCATACTGCCGTGAGGTGATCATGTCACATCAGCAGCCCAAGCTATCCCAACACAGCCGGCGCAAAGCACGCAGTCCTGGGCCAAGCGTTCTATGGGAGGTGGAGTTCACTGGGAGCAGGGTGAGGAGAAGCCGAGTCGCATCGAGGCACGAAGGTCGCCACACCTCCTTGGATGAATTCCACGCTCCTTGGCTCGAAAGCCCGGAGCTATGAATATCCCAAACAGTGCCTGCATGTCGGCTGTAGACCTCGCCGTGCTGAGGGGCTGGCTTGCCTGGCAGACTTTGCCAACACCGTGGCCTGCATCGAGTCTTCTTAGCAGGAATGACCGACCTACGTGATAGTATCAATAAATGAGATAGGACCAGCGGGCCAACGCCTTCGACCCAACGCCAGGGGCACGAAGCTGCGAAGCTTGCCCGACGTCTCAGGCCTGGCACGGCCTCTGTGCCAGGCCTGACACGAGAACCCTGCGACACGTGAGGAGCTAAGGTTAAAGCTAAGGTGTAGGGCTTTTCGGGTTTATGGGGTTTGGGGGCCCCTTCTTGCAGACAGGGCCTGACCCCGGCAGCTTCGCAGCTTCCTTCTTCACTTGCCACATCTGCCTACTGCAATGTGCCGTATCATTGGAGAAGTTGCCAGCTTGCCAAAACTAGCTAAGCTCTGAAGTACATCAATACATGAAAGTCGCCGTTAAACGCTTGTGAGTAGGCATGCTTTGTGCAGCTCGCAGCCTCTAGACACAGGCTGCCCTGGACTCAAGACCTTTGGCTAGCATAGATCGGTTTGCATGCGCAGCCGACGTTTCATTAGTGCTTTTGAGCCGAGGACCAATGCACCTTGGACCGAATTGATTTGTTTGATGCGGGCCCTGGATTACCCGACTGGCAGACTGATCTGCGTAGGATGGCCAGCATGGTCGCGGTTGCCAACAGTTTTTCAAGATCGGTTTTCAGTTGCAGCTCCAAGTTGTAGTACTCCAACAAAAGAGAGTCCAGGGAAGCGGCTGGCCAGGCCCGTGCCCGCAAACCCTTGAATGCCCGGGACAGGAATTTTCCGCAACCGACTTCATCAATGCCGAGTGGGCAGATTCCCTCGGCCACCGCATCAGCCGCCTGTCGGCAAAAAGTTCGAGTTTTCGGCGAAGTACCCGGCAGCTGCCGCCCTGGCCCAAGCATCTCAGTGGTCGCAGAGGTGTCTCCTCCGGCAAGAAGGCGAACAATCTTCAGGCATGCCTCTCAAAGCCGTGTCCTGGCTAAAGCAGCGAGAGTCACTTCCGCGACCGATGCTGTACATTTTTTCTGCTGCCTGTCGAGGAAGACACCGGACATTCTCCTGAACCTGAAGCCGGTAATTGGCTTGTCCGTGTGGCAATGCGGCCACTTGGGAAAAAGTACAGTCACGCAACGAATGGCAAGCAACATGGCGCAACTTGCAGCACTCCATGCCACCATTCCATCGTTGCGAAGCAGGCAGCATCTCGAGTGGCACTGGCACGTTGTCCGAGGAAATGCATTCCTCGATCCTGCTACCAGTACGACGGAAAGGCTTTGTACGGCTTTGTTGCTTGCAGGGCTCAAGACATCCAATAAGGGGCGCAAGGTCAGTCGTGATGCCGGGTGCATACGATCATTCTTTCAGGCTGTGTTGGCTTTCGGAAGGTGGTCGCGTCTCGGTATGGGCACCGCGGCTTGCATCATTCCCGTGCTTGCATTTGTGCCAGGTGCCAGCTGTATTTGCACGAGTCCGTTTGCGTGCAGAATCTGCAGAATCCATCCATGCCCAAATGAGCTGTCCGAGTCTTGAGGTGAAGCTGGACAAGCATGCAGACAGCACCGATGCGACTTCCTTAGTCTCGCCGATAAACATTGCAAAATGTGTGGTGGAGACACCTGCGCGCAACCAACAGAGACTATCAAAGACGCTTGTGGGGATGCATTTGTGTAGAAAACGTTTGCATGAACAACAACTGAGATGAGCAAGCATGATTTGTGAACGTTTAAGCATCAGATGTGCGAGGATGCAGAAGGCTCGGAAGAGCTTCAATCTGGAACAGGCCACGTACTGCAAGTAAGACATGGCCGCTGCCTTTTGTTGTGCAACGCATGTAACGTGTGGAGGGACACGTCCGTCGAACGACGCATACGCCGCAGCTACTGCAGGCTTTGCGCCGGCCGACTTGTTTTTTTTCAGAGCTTTCCGTACACCGCGTCCGAGATTGCGGCGGCCATCTCCATCTGGGAAGATGCCGTCGACGCTGGCGTGGACCTTCCCTCCGCTTTGGGCATTGGTCATGCCTTCAGCGTCGGACGCTGGCGATGGCCGTTGGAGCAGCGGAAGCGGCGTTGGCCGACGCCAAGGCGGCCGGCGGGGCACCAGGAGGCCCTAGGATGCCCTAGGTGTCATGCAAGAGAATCGTCCTATGTCGTCGGCTACGTCGACGGCATACATGCCGGGCGGCGCAAGAGGACCTGGCACAGCAGTCGCCACCGTCGGCGATCGGAGGCCGACGCGTTGGAGGCCCAGCATCGTGGCTATCCCACGTTGACCGCCTTCTATGCGGCGCGTGGTCGTAGGGACACACCGGCGGCACCGAAGTCCCGCCACCACCCAAGAGGCAGCCGGTGGTGACTTGGACGGCTACCTCAACACTTCCCGCCGATAAGGGGACCGGCGCGGCTGCGCTATGCAACCGGCGCAGGATTTCCGGCCGGCAGTACCGGCAGATAGTGAAGGACCGGCGAGGCCTTTGCAGCGACGAATGTGGCGCCACCACATCCACGCGATGGAGCAGGTCGGCGCCGGCACTGACGAGCACGAGGAGAGGGCGGCGAGCGGCGACGGCCCCATGATGCCGGCGTCGGAGAACACCGCCTACTTCTCCGTCAGAAGCTTGCCGGTGGGCATGAGGGTGCCGGAACGCCTGAGGTTTGGGTCGTAGGCTGGTAGCCGATTCCATTGAAAATCTGATGGCAAAGGGCGAGTGGGCTCCACTACTCCCGGCGGTATGCTCAGCCATCAGGTCGTTCGGTCCTGCAATATATACGAAGACGAGTGGCCTCCACTCCTGAAGTCAAGGGAGAGCATGTTAGGAACGCTGCCTCAGCTTTTTCTTCCTTATGACTTATAGCCGAAAGCTTATACATCTTGGCCAGGTGTGGCGAGCGGACTCCGCTCCCGATTAGCGCGCGTCTGCCATCGAAGGCAAGGCTTGAGCCTCAAGAGATTTGGTCGATGCAAGGCTCGATAGCCTGTACCACCAAGAAACGCAGCAGCACTGCATGCTCTCAAGAAGTCCGGACAAGCGAGGCTCGGAAGCCATGGAGGGAAAGCTCAAGGCAGAAGCCTGCGAGCTCCTGCTAATCCAAAGGAGAGGACAAAGGGCAGGCTTCAACGAGGCGAAGCTGCAGGCGAGCGGGCTCCGCGCCTGCTGCAACCGGTGAGACAAGGGCGAAACCGAGTACAGCTCCCACACTGCAAAGAGTCAACAGGCCAGCGCTCTCCGCACCTACCTCGCCTGCTGCCTATATAGTATAGGACCAGACCGAGTAAAGCTCCGCGTCTGGAGCTTCGTGATATAGCATGGTTTGCGGTCTCCGCACCACCCAGAGGAGACTCCGGCTCTGCGGGCGGGGGAGAATACGATGGACGAGCTCTTTGGCTACGACCCCTTCCAAGACGTTTCAGTATGCCGACTGATGCCTCCAGGTAGCGCCGCCATGGGAAGCATGTGCCAAGATGCGTGAGGGTCAGAGCGGGACTGCCAGCCAAGGCTGAGGACGCCGAAAATGGCGTGCATGTCCGGACTCGCGCTAGACCACAGGATTGCATATAGCTCGACTGGTATAACCTGGCTCAACACAGGCACGTACAGTCTGTCTGAGGTGCGACAGCGAACCGCAACTCCCTTAACAGCATTGGACTCAGCCCTACATTCAGAGCTCCTGGAACAGCACGCGCGTGCAAAGCGCGAGTCCGAAAGTCCAAAAGGAGGGCATGCGGATTCCGCACCATGGCCAGATGCGCAGCCAATTAGGCATGCACTGAGCAACTGCAATAGTGCCAGTCAGCCTCGTGGCCAGTCAGTCCATGCCTCTCTCCAGCCCGAGCGCCACAAATAACTGAGCGCCCTCAGACATGGCCTGCAGCGACCTTCTTGCTTTGGTCTTCGCAGCATGGCGCGGCTAGATCAGACTCACAGATGAGCACGCAGACCCGGACCCAGGAGTGACCTCGATCTCCAGATTCACTGGCGACACTGGTCTAAGATATCCTCTCAGCAAACCCGGACCAGCTCACATGCATCCGGCACGGACCTGAATCCCGGATAGAATGGTGTGCGGAATTTGCACCATGGCCAGGAGTCCAGCTCTTTACACAGGAATCCAAGGAACGCCACCAGAAGGTGTTGTGAAAAGTCAAGGCATCTCTCTAGTTAGATCCCCATAGGACACCAGAGTGCTCTCAATCATGGCCTACAGTGACCTTCTGGCAAGGGTTTTCGCAGCATGGGGTGACTCGGTCAATCACAATCCTGGCATCGCAAATGAGCACTCAGAACGAGGCTCTTCGGGCCATTCGCGCTCTATCAGCAGGTACCCTCCACACGGTCATCCACAACCTGCGAGAGGGGAGTCGCAGCTGAAGCCCTATGGGCTTCTGGGGAACTTACATGCGGAGATCACAGACATACTTACAGCCGAGGCGGGAGATGAGGGTATGACCCCAACACCCACGCGAAGAGGGGCTTTCAAATTTTGGTGCCCACACCAGTGGGCACATAGAGTGCCAGGGAAAGGGTGCCTGACCTGAGGTCAAGTAGCATGCAGTGCGTCAGACGAGGCGGGTCGGCGGTCTCCGCGCATGAGATTTGTCATGCGCAGGATAAATCAATGGTGTTCTCCAGCTCTAACTCAGAGGCTGACTCTCTGTGCTAGAGCGGCCATGAGACTCAGCTATTTAGGGGGTGCACCACCTACATCCTGCTTGTCTGCACCAGACACCCCACACTCAGGTCCAGAGCTATACCTGCACCAACCACAGAGGAAGTGCGGTCTGTCCATGAAGGAAGCGTGCTGCACTGCATAAATTGCAATCTATCACTCCTACTCATCTGCCAGCTTGCTCTGAGCTAAGCCCGAACCCTCACCCGGAAACCTGGACGCAGCACTCTCATCACATTCACTGGACCTACCACCCTAGATGCCCTGCTAGGCGCAGCAGATTCATTGTCCCAGAAACCAGCGTAAAGCCTGCCAGCCTTACCTGACACAGCTGACTCTGCGGTCTCCGCGGTCGAAAGCTCCACCTGCGCCCTGCGCCTGGCTCTGGCGGGGCGCCAAGAGAACGAGCCACAGGACGCCTCCAACGACCATGCCAAGAGGCGGGCAGTCCAGGGTGCACGGACGGACTTGGCCTTTGTCATGGGTCCAAGTCCTTCTGCTAAGAAATCCGCTCGCAGCTTCCCTCACATTGCCGCCAGGGCGGTGAGTTTCACGGCCTTGAACCGACTGGCACCCTGGCTGCCTTAAGGGCCCAACAGCCAAAAGAGCCACAGACCGCGATGAGGAGGCATCAGCGCAACACCAATAAAGCCGCGTAACGCACGAACTTTTCATCAACTGTTTGGCTCAGGTCTTCATACCAGGGATGGAACCGGCTTCGGAGAGGCCTAGCCAGACATGTGTTGATCACCAAAGCCATTGCCATGCACCAATTCGTACAACGCTCCACACAAACACAGGCGCGACGATGGACACATACAGGGTCAGCGGCTTCCGAAGCTTGGCTTGGCCAGGCACTCAGCTAAATGATGACCCTAACTCGACAGGACGGAGCCTGTCGGCGACATGCCATGCCATGCCGAGGTCAGCTCTACAAGATGCCGGTGCGCGTGAAGCATTTGCACGCTCGTTGGTGTCGACCCTCCCCACGCCAGCGTCGAAGGAGGTGCCGACTTCTGAGCTTAACCTCTGCTGGAACAGAGAGTAGATCGTACACCTGTCATTGGGTGCGCATGAGTTTGTTCTCCTTGCGCAGGGAATCCCTTTCAGTTTTCAGAGAGGCCGCTCACCTGTAATCAGGAGTGGGCCGGGCATCAAGGGCTAGTGGTCTCCACGCCCAGTAGTCAGAAGCATGCACCACTCCAGCGGCTGGGCCTGCTGGCGTCGTAAACCAGTACAGGCCTTACCTAAAGGTCCCTACACAAGAGCAGGTCGTGGCCAAGACGGGGCCATGCTGGACTGGCTCGGTTTGACATGCATCAGCAGCGTATCATCGCGCAGCTCTGGCAATTCGATCCACGGGCCCAGAATGCGCCGGAACGAATGCCATGTTTGGGCCCATGAGAGGTTATAATAAACCTGTGACGGCGTTCCCTGAATGAGGCCATGTAAGCTCGAAGCGAGTGCAGCGAACTCTTTGATGCGCCTCGCCGACAGGTCTGTTTCTTGGACGTATAGATGCCACAGGTAGTACCAACGTTTACAGGCCACGGAGGCTGAGTGGTGGGCAAAAGATACCAATTGTGCAAAGGAGTCCTACAGATTGACAAAGTCGTAACAGCTGGACACTACCACGCTTTCTATGTTCCTGAGAATGATTGAGAATGATGAGGACTCGATGGTCAGGTAGCAGCCCCAGGCACAGATGCCAGCAAACAAGCCATTCTCACCAATGGCTACTTGCTGGCCTTTCGCAGGACTGAATCCCTCTGAGTCTCAACCTGGGATTGTGGTATCCACTCGCTTTCTGAAACACGGTAGCTCTGTACAGTAGTGAGAGTCGCAGTAGTCAGGACGATCCGAGGCCTCCTCATCGTCTGTACAGTTTTGCTTGGGCTGATGACAAACAACTGGTGTCATCTATGCCTAGTATAGTTGTTCGTTGTCTCACCTTTGAGTCAAACAGTTGACTTAGCATACTTTTAACATTGTAGCTCCGCTGCTGCTGTCGGGCCTTTAGGGGCACAGCAGTAGCCAGCGGCTGTTTGCAGTTGATCGCTTAGGCGACTGCAATGATCGCTGGCGAACCCTCACTGTAGGGGTGACTAGTTGCCCGCTTGACGGCTGACTCAGTCGATGCGCTTGAATGAAAAAACGACGTAGTCTCCCGGGGGACTTGGAGATGGCCCGGCGAATGGGCTGGACCAGAGAGAGTCCAGACACCGGTGCGGAGCATCCTGCGTACGCTGGCGAAGGCTGTCAAGCACCTCGACTTCGACTTGAACGCTGCGGGGGATGACGCGCAGCACTTCGCCGGCAAAGGCGACGGACCCGGCGCGATGCGCTTCCTACCATCAAAAGAAGGTCAGTCCGTCGTACCGTTTTGGGAATGCAGTTCAGGTGTCGAACTTGTCGTGTAACACATGTAATGCGTGCAACGCATACGCCGCAGCTACTGCAGGCTTTGCGTCGCTGACGTTTTTTTCTCAGAGCCCACCCTCTCCTTCTATTTTTGTTTATTTTGAGACCTGTGGGTCGGCGCTCACTGGCAGGCGACCGGCCATGATGTGGAAGCGTCCCCGGCGCCGTACATTCGTGATCCGGCGAAAGCGACGTACCCGACGCGAAGCGCTTCCTACGACATCTCCGGGACAAGTCCATCGAACGACGCATACGCCGCAGCTACTGCAGGCTTTGCGTCGCCCGGCATGTTTTTTTTCAGAGCCCACCCTCTCCTCCCGTTTTTGTTTCTTTTGAGACATGTGGGTCGTTGCTCGCTGGCGGGCGACGGGCCGGGATGCGGAAAGCGTCCCCGGCGCGATGCACTTCCTACCATTCAACAGAGGGGTCAGTCCGTCGTACCAATTTTGGGAATGCACGTCGGCTGTCGAACTTGCTGCAGGCTCTCACGGGCCCTTTGTCTGTAAACTGTTGAGACACCCTGCAGACTTCGGGAGGCTCTTGGAGTGAGAGCCGCCAGTGCAGCAAGCACAGTCAGGAGGAGCCTTGAAATCCCAACTGTGTGATCTGCCAGTCCGTGGGCTATTCGATGGCCTCAGCCTGTGCTCGTTATATATTCGCCGAAGAAACGACTGTGCCAGCGTCGTTGAGAGGCTTTCGAAAGCTGTGCTGCGTCTTAGCCACGACTTGCTGATTTCACTTGCGACAGCACACTAATGCCAACATAATGAGTTTCAGAATTCGATGCCCGTTTCGCATTCACGCAGCCTTCCACGTGGCACGAGCAGGCTGATCTATTTTTACTAACAGCTACTAACAGCAATCACGATTGAATTGCGAAACCACAGCTTGCCCTGCACTTGGCCCCGAATGGTTTGGCACAGTTGTCGAAATTCCCCGTGACCGGACAACTTTAAATAGCAGGAAGCTTGCTGCCTGTGCCCTGTCGTTGGGGGGTCTAGACATGTGACTTCAAAAGGACAGAGTAGTAAGAGGTCACGCGGTGCATAGGAGCACTGCGAAGAGTCTGCTCGTCCATCCATATTCGCATCTCGTGCCACTTCGAAAACTTGTTGGCTGCTGTACGATGTTGAGCGGCCACAAAGCCGGGCATCCGTGACAGGAGCCTCGGTGTTATTGTTATCTGGAGGTGGAAAGAACCCCGGCGTAGAACAACAGGACGGAACACCCGTTTCCGTCTCATCAACATCCGTGAGGCAGTCAGATTGATTGCGACGCTCGAAACCAGTCTTGTGCGATCATAACAAAAAGTCTGCTGAGCACGGGGAGCGACCACTACAGGTCACAGGCGAGGCACAAGCTGTCTCTCCGACAAGAGTATGATCGTGGAATATGTGCTTGTGCATGCGTGCATGGGCATGCGGTATTCTGTATAGAGCGGCTGTTAGTCCCAGATGTTGCTCACCGTTGCACTGGGTCGACAAAAGTACAGAATGTAGCAGTTCTGAACTGGCAGGTCATGCGCGGCAGGCTCCATCATGTTGTTGAAGTCGATGATGTGAGCACTGCACGTGCGGTGCTTGGCCGAATCTGGGAGCAGCGAATGAAGCTGCTGCTACTGTTTGAGCCCCACCGGCTGAAGCTTGCGAAGCTAAGTCTTCTTCGCTTTGCTTTTCGTTCTGGCAATTTCTGCATCTATGCAGCTTCTGAGGCGCAGACCAGGCACCTGCTCGCGTGCATGTGTTGGCTGGACGCGGGTTGACAGCGCGGGCCCATTGTGAGGCGTATGTGTTGGCGAACAGGCCAAGTCAGGACCTGACTTGGAGACACTTTCGGGCGCCTCCCGCTCGTGTTCCACCACGCACGAGCTCTCGCTCCGAGCATAGACTAGCTGCTATGGAGGACCACACAACTGCATTTCGCTCAGTTGAGCGCCTGGGCCTCAGGCACAGTGGGAGTGGGCATTTTCTGAAGAGCACGAATTGACGTTTGAAAGGCATTGAACGTTTTCTTTGCGAAGCCTTGCTTTCCGTTGCCGCTTGCTCCAGGGCCGAAGATAGGGCTCTACGTGACTAGATGGGCTTTCCAGTTGGCATAGCCGGAAGCAAGGTGTCATGGCTGCAACGACGGCCGATGCATCTGCTGCAATGGGACACATTCCTCAGCCCGTGGGTGCCGAGAAGAAGGGCAGCTGCTCAGATCATGGCTTTTGTAACTTGGCCGTCAATCAACTCAAGGCTGAAGCGACAGTCAGTTTTATTGCAAGTCAAAGCTGTTATTTTCCTTTTCCTGCACTGCACGAGGCAGTGAAGAGGAGCAGAACAAGGCCTACATGGCAGTGCTGCAACGCCTGAAGTCTGAGGGCGTGCTGAAAGCACTGCGGCCTGACTCACGAGGCATCACCAAATCACTCGATCAGCAATTCAATGTATCTTGACTGGTCTGGCGGTCCGAACGGCTTGTGAATTTCCCTGAAGGCATGCTGCGCATCAACGTGCCCTTCGCTGGTAAGTTCGCAGAGCGCGACCTGCTGATGGCATTCTTGCGCACGGAGGTGTTGAATCGGCGGAGTGACATAAGGTTTATCCACATTCTTGCCGCTTGGCTCAAGCTATTGCGGGTGCCCAGCTAGTGCACGTTCGCCTCGGCTGCTTCGCAGACATGCGAGATTCCAAAACCAGAAGGGTTGAGTGTGCATCGCGGGGGCTCACCGACAGTTTGCATAGCGAGGTCCATGGAGAGGCCTAGTCGAAACGACAAGTGTTGGAGGCCTCTGCGGAAGGAAAATGGGAAACCTGAGACATACTCTAAATTACCGTATTTGGGCCATAGTTCCAAACAAGGTCAAGGTTTCTACTGCCCAAGTAGCGTCGGAGCATCGTTGGGCGTTGACGTTTGGGGATCTTGTTTTCTTGGTGGGAGGGGCTTTGCGGGGTGCCGAGGCCAGGGTGGTTGGGGTCGCGGTAGCAGTATGTGTATTCCATAGTGACAGTAACAATAACGGCAACAGGTCACAGTGACAGCTTGTTGTTGATCCCTGTTTGATTTTGTTTTGATCCGAAAGTTGCTAATCTTGGGCACACTGTCCAGGAGACATATGAGAGGTGATTTTGCCTTGATCCTCGTTTTGATTTGTTTTTGATCCCTGTTTGATTCTATTTTGATCCCTCAGCCTCTGTTGACAGTCTCAGCCCAATCGCAGTCCCACACGCGGCAGATGCACAGACTTGTGCGAAGACCGGTTCATCACTCAAGGGGACCGGGAGCCTTAAAGAGGGGCGCGACTGTTCCTTTTTATGGCATTCACAGCCCAAATTGGGCAAACTGAACGTGAGGATAAAGCATTTGCGGTCACATCGGTTGTCAGGACATTCTGATACAAAATGGGAGGGGGAGGGAGAGAGAGGCGAGGGAGGGGGACGGGGAGGAGGGAGGGAGGGGAGGGGAGCGGAGGGGAGGGGGAGAGAGGGGGGAGAAGGAAGGGGGGAAGGGAGAGTATGAGGGAGGGAGAGGGAGAGGGAAAGAGGGAGAGAGAGGGAGAGCGGGAGGGGGAAGGGGGGGGGATGGAGAGGGAGGGATGGAGAGCGGGAGAGGGGAGCTTTGCCAAAGGTCACAGACATCCAGGACTTCTTCAGTGAGAAGACCGATCCTGTTGTGCGAGACCCGCACATCTTCATTTCGTACCTGGTGCAGGAGCGTCCAGATCTAGCAGCATGTTTTCGAAAGATCTCAGAATAGCAGCAGCAGCAGCAGCAGCAGCAGTAGCAGTGTTTCACCGTCGAGGCTAAGATTAAATTGACAGCATTGGGCTGCCAAGCTACTGCTGCTTGCTGACCTTCGCCAACACCCACAGCTGACGCCACCATTGTTTGTCGCTGGTCCGTTGGCACATGTCACGGCACATAGTTGCACTGGAGCTGCCCGGGTATCGGCTGTTTTTGAAACGACACGGGCGTGAACTTCTGAAGTTCACTCGCCTTGCATGGTGGAGTCGGCCGAGTCCGATCCTCGCCAGGATGGAACGGTTCCTCTTCCTCCTGCGCAGCTGTTGCTGGGGATGCATCCAGATTGCAGCAGCCGGTTCTTGACCGATGCCCGGCAGCAATTTTGCGCATGTGGCCAAGATTGGTTAAGAACCACGCTGCGGTAAGAGCAGCCATGTGCCTTTCAGTCAAAGGACACTAGGCATTGCGCGGAGCAGCTCAGCAGCTTCTTCAATGCAAGCACAGAAGAAGGCAGCACCGTGCCGAGGATTTCGGGATACCCTATCGTCGATATTACTACTTATGGCAGCGGATTCTCCACCAGACAGCAATGAGCTGCACCCAGGCTTGGCTGTAAAGGGTCCTGGCGGTTTCCCCTTCAACCTTTGTCCAGCAATTGGGATCCGCGATCTCCCTGCAGGTCGCTGTTTTTTGCAACCTCTGGCTCGAAGAGGCTATCGAGGTGCAGAACGTGACACGACATGCAGGCCGCGAAATGCGCTGGTGAGGGGGGCAGGACCCCTTAAAGCAGGACGTGTCAGGTGTAGTTAGTGTACTTGCTGCAACTGCAAGCACTGAGTTTGTTCCTGCTTGCTGAATGGAGACTGCAGGCATGATGTCGTCGGCGCCGTTGAAGAATGCTGCTCGGATTCCTGATGCTCCAAGATCGAGGAATGCAGCCAGAAATTTAAACGCTCGTTTAGCTGGATGTTACCAAGGAGCTGTATTATGGCCAAACCGTCACCTCGCCATTGACTGCAAACAAGCGCGACAGGCTCTGAAAGTTTCTACCCGGTAAGGTACCCGCAGACTGCACACCAGGTCCCAAGAGGTTGCCTTTCCAACGACAGTTTCGTTGCTTGTTGCGAGTTCAAAATCCTGGCGTGCGGAAGGAAGCCGTTCCACTACATCGTCATTGCAGATCGCGCGCCCTTCCAGGCAGGCCAACGCGAGCTTCGAGCTCTCTCCCGGGCCATGTTGGCACGCAGCCTATGCAGGTTGTGCCGAAGATCGTGACGAGTGATGAGGACTACACTGGCCCCTACCACAATTTCTGGACGCTGGGCTTGCCGCAAGTGCATATTTCTCTTGATTAGTTGGCGTTCTTCGGATCGCCAGCGCCGGTTCAGAAGAAAACCGCTTGCTCGCGCTGCCTGAGGACACTCGCGGAAGAGCGTACACGCGAGGCTGGACCGCCCTTCCAGCGAGCGCTTGACACCCATGTGCTGCTATAGGCCATGAAGCTGAGAAACGACCTCGCATGCACCACGGTGGCACGTGGTGGCACTGCTTGCGACCTCCTGTGGGTGGTTCTGCCTGTGAGTCTTCACATCTCCGAGGGAGAGACACCAGCTCCGGCTCGGAATCGGGCTCGGACATCTCGTCCGACAGCGACCAAAGTGAGAGCATATGGGGGTTGTAGATCACCGGGATGGCATGCGCAAAGTTGACGCTGCCAGCTAGTCTCACCTTGGACATCGGTGCTGCGACTGCAGTAGCTGGGAGAGCTTGTGTGAGTAGCTAAACATCATTACGTGCATGGCTGCTCATTTTGTACATTATTGGCTTGCAAGAATGCGACCACCTTATAGACTGAGCAACTGATTTTTCCTTATGGCGAAGAGAGAGAAAAGCGCCGAATGTGTTATCCAGTCTGGGCTCGGGCTCCGCAGATCTTTCAGAAATTCGCGGGGAGATATCGTCATCGTACATGGACGTAACTCGTGTGGGTGAAGTCATTCTGCCACGTTTGCAGATGCAAGCTTGGCCCAGGTCTTTGCCAGCATGCCGAGCGCCAGGGGACACATGCTTGGCAGCAGGACGCTGCAATGCCGTGATATGCGTCGTTATGGATATGCTTGTCCTCTTAGTCGTTTGGTTCGATGTGTCTTCATGCGGGTGCTGCTGCTGCACCAGCACTCACCACTACCACCACGACTTTGACGACTATTGGCAGCACTACCAGTGCCACTGCGACGAAGACGGATACTACGACAATTCCGACTGCCACTGCCACTGCTCGAGGTACTACTACTTATACTGCCACTCCTGCCCCTACTACTACTGCTACTGCCGCTGCTACTCTCCTACTACTACGGCTACTTCTTCTTCTCCTGCAATACTGCAACTACTACTACTATTATTACTACTACTACTACTACTATTACTACTACTACTACTACTACTACTACTGCTGCGATTACTACTTCTTCTTCTACTACTGCTACTTCTTTTTGTGCTACTACTACTACTACTACTACTACTACTACTACCACTAGTACTACTACTACTACTACTACTACCACCACTTCTACTACTACTACTTCTTCTTCTTCTGCTACTAAGCTGCTACTACCACTACTACTACGACGACGACGACTACTACGACTACGACGACGACTACTACTACTACTACTACTACTACTACTTGTGACTACATGGCTCAGAAACACACTTGACGGTTGCTGAACCTGACTTGGGTTGTGTAGCTGTCTTGTGGTACACTCAGGGTGCCGGTCCGAAGTGTTGATTGAGCGCCTGATGGGTTTGATTGGATTCAGTTCCTGATCATTGGGCGCTTGATCGTTGTCTTCGAGTCCAGTTGCTAGTCAAGACCCCCACAGTGCTCTCTCTGGCATGCCAAGTGGGTGACAAAGCCTCCTACTACTACTACCACCTACTACACCTACTACTACTACTACTACTACTACTACTCCTTCGCCGGTACTGCCACTGCTACTGCTACCACCACTACCAGTCACTACCACTACCAGTCACTACCACTGCTACCACTACTAGTGCTACTGCTACTGCTACTGCTACCACCACTACCAGTCACTACCACTACCAGTCACTGCCACTGCTACCACTACTAACTAGTACTACAGCTTCAGCTGTGACTAACTGTTGTACTGGTACTGCTGCTGCTGTTAATTACTGCTACTGATACATGATAACCGCAACAGCACGCATAACGCCACCACTTGTCCTGAAGAGGCCATTCCTGAGCTTCGAGAGTTTGCACGGAATTTTCCGAAGGACCCGCAGGCGCTGGGAAATCTGATTTAGGGCGACTCTGCCGTTGCATCGCTCCGTGTCCAGCCGCTGGAGCGATCTTCCAGTATGATGTCAGCTCTTTGAGACGAGGCTTGGGTTGCTCTGGCGCGAGCACGCTTAGCCACTGGAGCGAAGCGTGATGCCTATCGCAACGTGCAAGAGGCGGAAGGAATCTGAGGGCAGATTCAGGGTAGTGACGGTCTGACCGTGCCAATTGTCAATGTGATGCAAGGCTGTGGCACAGTCGTCTCGGGAGCTGTTACAGACAAGCAGTGGCGTTGCATGGGATCACGCACTTTGCGAGGCTTTAAGCCTGAATGCAGATATTTACCTCGGCCCGTCGCTGAGCGTGCTTGCTGCACAAGGACGAAACAGGGTTTGCAACACATCTTTGTGCGTCAGAGCTGCCTTCAGCTCCGTGCAGGATATTCAGAAACCCACAAGTGGCCTCTGGTCATCAAGCACGCCGAGGCCATGATTTTTCTAAGAATGAGGAAGTCCAAACATACCCAGACCTGGAAGTAGGTAGACATGACACAAAGCCGAAGCGACAGAAGTTGTGTTCGGAAAACTGCTTGCCTGCTGGCTTCGGAATTCGCGGAAAGCCAATGGCACAGTAGCGTCCCTGCCCAAGCTTCCTAGACCATGCGAGATAAGAAACACCTGATGAGGCCCGGATGATAGCGTGACCTGATTCAAAGATGTTGAAAAGAGGGTGCAGCTGCTAGCACTCCCCTTGCCAAGCGGAGCCGAACTCCTCTTGGTCAACGGCAGCTCCCAGCCGACTATCCGAGGTGGCGAGGAGTACATAGCAGAAGATCTCCTTGCTCAAGTTGCAGCTTGCTTCTCTCATGGTCTTGCTTATCTATTGGACAGACTCCCTCCCCTCCCTCCCGCCCTCCCTCCCTCCCACCTTAAGGGCCCTGCGTCCGCTCAAACCCGACACATGGTTGCGGGTCCTTCTTGCTAATCTGCTAACACCTCATTCAGATCCCAAATGGCCTTAAACCACACTTGAACCAAAAATCGATGACTGCTATGCATGAGTACTGCGAAGCATGGATCTTGCCAAGCTGTACAGAAGAGTACTCTGTAAGACATGGCGTGCCAGAATGGAGCGGGCGAAAGAATCCTGCACAGGCGGCCTTGGCCCTGCGTCCGAGCGATGCCGAGACCCTGATCTTGCTTCTGCGCGCCCTGATCTCCAACAAGGTGAGCATCTTGGTGCCCGGGTGTTGGCACGTCATCAAGCTTCCCTGTGCGACGCAGTCAGCCGAGCTCACACAGACTGTGTGATTCAGGAGATGTGGCCTGGTGCATTCTGAATCGATTACGCTACTTGCGCTACACTAGCCCTCGCCCTTTCACGCAAATGTATGAGCGTTTCCACTCGGATGTAGTTTGCAACCGGCTCATTAATATGTTTATTAACTATATACTGCCGCAGGAGGGCAAGTCCGCGAAGGCTCAGGAGCCACTGTCTGCACTGTGCGTGCGAGCTCTGTGCGATAGCGAATGACAGCGATCAAGAGTCTGCATACCTACATTACCTTGTGTGCAAACCCGTGCTGTCGCGCTCGCCGTGGCAGTCGGCTACAGGTCCTGCTTGCGTCCTGTACAAGGTTGCTTGTTGCAACTGCCTCTTTGAACTTGCCGACATCATGTCTCACACTTGCTAGGAGACTGTCCGATTGCTGATGCAAGCCGATCGGTCACGAAGCAGCCAGCCAAGATTTCGGCGGGCAAATATCAGTGAAGCGCTAGTGTTTTCTGTAGTAAGGCCCAGTCGAGTCAGTCAAGAACCTCGCTCACGAAACCCAAGAGGACCCTCGTCTCCGAGGTATCTCTCTTCTGAGAGAAGTTGCGGAGTCTAGCGGGTCTGCAGCAGCGGCCTCATCCGATGGACAGCTTACAGCGTTTTGGGGCGATCCCGGCTCCTAGGTAACGCCGTTTTCCCAACCTCGGTCGACTGAGGCTGACAAGCATTACTGGCTGTCCGAAGCCCTAGCTGGAGCGGGACACCTAGTTTTGCTGAAGGCAAGGCGGCCATCCACAGCTTGCTCTGTGACAGACGCGAAAACGCCAACATGAAGCGTAGTGCCGTCGGTGCTGGGGTCAGGCTTGAGTTGAGGGTAGTTCGCAGGGCGAGTGTGAAGCTTCCAAGCCCATCCGAGTTCCAAGGGAGAGGGCCGTCATAGTCGGCAGAAGGAGAAATCAACTGGTGCCCGGGAGCAGAGCACGACAATGCAGGCATAGCCGGAGCAAACAATAAAGAGGGAGGCACGTCCGAACATGCATAAGCTTCTGAAGTTGCCCCAGTGTCGCATCATTTGCGCACGAGCACGCGTCGGCCATCTCTCAGGACATCAACTTATACACGACTAAAAGGGCAGATCCACGAACCCACCATACGAACCCACCATTTGGAATTTCCAAATTTGGCAATAGTGCTTCACTCAAGATTCGGTGTGTGATTTCAGCCCCTAGCGCCAAGGTTCACCCCATTACTAGCTCACACAAGCAGCCACAAGCAATGGTTAATGCGATCGACCAAACAGGCAGTAATCTGGAATATGCTGGAACACTCTACACCCGCACGAAGAATCAAGAAGGCACGGGCTGGCGGGTCGCCACCTCAGCGGCAGCTGCTTCGGGACTTGGCGGAGGCAGAAGATGCTTAGTGATTCCTTCCTCCCTTTAGAGACCCGTGGTCTCAAGAGCGGCGGCTTAGGCTCCGGAGTGGAAGCCTAATGCAGCAGCACAGATGCTTTGAGGAGATCCTGTAGCACCGGAAGGTCCGGTCCACGAAGCCTCGGACGGCAGCCGCCGAAGCTCAAGTTGCCGGTCTAGCAGGGTTCCAACAGGAAGAGGAATCGTTGGTAATGTTTTGGACTCTCAGATGTTGATTAACATACCGGACTGTTACCAAGACAGTAGTTGGCGACTTGGGAAACCGAAAACCGAAAGAACGTGGCGCTAATGAGCAAATGAATCACCAATGCTTGGCAAGGCGTGGCGGGAAGTTCAGCACGCTATGATAGAATCATGGTTCAGTTTGGGCCTTTGCAATTCTCCATAGCTTCCGACGGAGATCTTTGCAATGGCTGGTCGCACCATGCATACTGGCGCAAGCGCCGGAATAGAGCGAAGGAGAGATGACCACCCGCTCAAAATCTGCAGAAAGGAGCACGAGAGGCTCAGAGAGATTGGACAAGAACTCTGAGGCGCAGGATGCCGTCACTACACTTGCCGGAACGGGCTGCTATGGATACGCAGATGGACCTGGCAAGACTGCCTGCTTTGCAAATCCAGAGGGTATTGCCATCGACCGAGAGGCACTGCATGGCACTGCTTCAAACAACTATGCCGCCACTGTAAGTTCGCGGCGCGTAGACCACTGTGCACGCATGCTGGCTAGTGGTTGCATTATGTTGTAGCTGCCAGAGTACATGCTCCCAGACATGCCTCTAGGGCAACGTTATCGTGGCAGACACTGGCAACCTACGGATTCGGAAGGCGCGAAGAACAGCTTGCATGTGCTGGGGATTCCTTGTATGTCAGAGTCGGCACAGGTCACCGCGGATGGCACAGTGTGCACAGTGGTCGGCAGCGGCAATCAAGGCTTGTCTGATGGCGAGGGCAAGGCCAGGCGACCCGATCCCTCGCCCCACTGCTATGCGCAATTATGCCTCAAGCATCCTCAAGCCGTCGCTCAAGGCCGGATCTGAGACCTTCAATGACCCAGAGGGGGTGGCGCTGGACCAGGTGCGAAACACTGTGAAACAAAGCTGAGAGAGACGTACGCCGGTTTCATCCGTTCTCCATCAGTAGGAGGTGCAAACTGCCGCGTTCATTCGGGGGTTCAAACGCAGGAGGGAAATCTCATCGTTGCCGATGCTGCGAACCACTGCGTGCGCAAAGTGTTTGTCAACCGGGCCATTGATAGGTTTGTCGTACTCACATTGACTGGAAACGGTGAGCCCGGTTCCAACGACGGTCAATGCAAAGATGCATGCTTCAACGATCCCAAAGATGTGGCCATCGATGCCAACGGGGACATTTTCGTGGCAGACACCAGCAACCATCGCATCAGAAAAATCTCAGAAGGTGTGGTTAGCACTTTGGCAGGTTGTGGGACTGCCGGCTTTCAGGATGGTCCGGGCGAGAGCGCAGCCTTTGCCGACCCCGAGTCCGTTGCCATTGACCTACAGGGCAACATCGTCGTAGCAGACACCAACAACCATAGCATTCGAAAGGTCACTCCAGAAGGGCAGGTGTCAACTCTTGCTGGAGCTGGCATGGAAGGCTATGTTGATGGTCCCGGTGCAGAGGTCCGCACCTCGGGAGATCAAAAGGAAAAGCTGCAGAGAGAACAGTGCAGATTCTTTTTTCTGTTGAAAAGAGCTTGCGAAATGTAGCATCCAGAGCTACCGTCAGGCGAGGTTCCACTGCCCGGAGGGCCTCGCGGTCGACGGCGACGGTAACGTGATCGTGGCCGATACCGAGAACCACCGCATTCGCAAAGTTCAGCCAGACGGGCAGGTGAGATCAAACTCGCACATGCAAATTACCAGTCGAGCACGGGAAGAGAACGGCAGCTTACCAATGATGCCGGTAGGTTGGCACTCGAGAACAGATCACTTCACAAGTTACCCCTGAAGGTTAGCACTATCGTTGGTGGAGACATGGGTTTTGCTGATGGGGCGCTGGAGACGGCCAGATTTCACACCCCAACTGATGTTGCAGTGGATGGCGATGGTAAGATCGTCGTTCTGGACTACTCCAACTTCAGGACCACTGACAAAAGCCAGGCAAACCTTTACATGTTTTCAACTCTACCCCTTCTCCTGCCCCCCTGCAGCGCAACTCCTCGGCGAGGATTCGTTTGGTGCATGCTGGGCTGCGGCCACCGAACAACGTGGGCGCAGTTGGAGTGCTCCTGCAACCACCTTCATCCTTCAGACGGGACATGCTTCTTTCCGAGCAATCAGCTTGGCATGTTGCCACATCGACTGTAAAACCCCTGAACAAAGTCCGTGAGGTTACGCATGCTGTCCGATCCGGCGCTTTCCGATATCAGCTTTTCGGTGGATGGGGAGGTGGTAGCTGCTTGCAGGGTTCTCATCATGGCAAGGCAGGTTGAAGTTGCTGTAAGATGAATGTCGCCCACGTTGTTGTTATTCTCCCATGCATTGAGCAAACGTCACATCTGGTGAGGGTCGCACAACATGCTTGGTGGAATGTCCAGCCTGTCTAAGCATGATAGACCGGCCACAGCACGTTCATGTTGCGCTGATTCGCCGGAGGTCTGAGTACTTCTACACGATGCTGAACTCCGACTTTATCGAGGGCAAGCAAAGTGGACCAATACCCATTCAAGATACCACGAGGGAGGCCTTCTCTGCAATGCTCCAATACCTCTACACCGACGAGGTCGACCTAGCAGATAGCAACGTCCTTGATGTTCTGCGCCTGGCCCACAGGTGTCAGTTGACTCGCCTGTGTCAGGAATGCTGCGTATATGTCCGCCGAACATTAAACGTGCATAATGCAGTGTCCTGGTGGGTTGCAGCGAAAGATTTCTTCATGGAGGATGTGACTGAGCAGGCCTTTGAATTCGTGAAACAGAATTTCAAGAGCATCAGGTGTGATGCCCCGTCCACTCTTTGCCTACTTGACAGTAGGCCCGAGCTCATGAAAGATCTGTTGATGCATTTGCCCATGTAGCAGCACATGTCGCCACTTGTTGCCGACGTCGCCCCAGCCTCCGTTGTCTTCACGTGAAACCCGTAGCAGCGACACAGCTCAGCTCAATCATTGAGCCAAAGGCAGCTGCGCTCCACCGGCGGTGTCGAATCTACTCGTTTGATGGCGTCCCAAAGTCTGCCAAAGTCTGCCCGGGGTTGGTGCACAGGTTGCCGCAGGCAGCGTGTCAGACGGGAGATGTTGTTTGTGGATTTGGCAGGCCAGTTTCGTCTTGGACCGCAGGGAGGATGCTTTGAAGCTGTTCGAAGAGGCTGGCGTGGTGTGCATAAGACGAGAGAGTGCACATCAGACGCCGCCAAGCAAGGCATTTTACCATCCGGAGGGCCTTGCAGACGAAGATACCGCGAAGTCTCTCGAGCAAATCTCAGCTGTCCGTGACGTTTCAGCAGCTGCAATTGCGACCTAAAAGCATTTGACGTGACAGAAATGCTGTCGTTGGCTAGGCTACGCGTGCTCTTCTGTGGCTAGTGTACCAGGTCCAAGGCACAAAGTCACACAGGCAGTATCGAAGATCACGGTGGATATGCAAGCAGTGGAGCTGCTGAAAGTCTTTCGGATAAACTTGGGATGCTTGTTGATGGACCACTCCAGGCCCAGATGTACCTTCGGAATCAGCGGTCAAAGGAAGCTATGGAGATCTACCGGGCCAGGGTCTCAGCTAGGCCCGGCCAGCGAGGCACCTCAGAATCAGAGCGCTTATGATGACAAGGGTGAACAGCAGAAGGAGTACCTAGACATTGTCGTTGTGGTTGCGGGGTGGCCCGCGCTGGTGGTGCTTGTGGGAGTCGCAGTTCGCTGAGTAGAAGGATTGGGAACCGAAGGAGGCACAGCAGCAATGAAGTGTTAACCGCAATCTCAAGCGCAGCTGGAAGTTAATGCTCGTCGAGTCTTAGACCTTTCGACGCTCACGCAGGCTTCATGGAAATCTTGACGCTTCATGTTGGGGTTCCTGGATGTTTCTAGTCTTTGTAGCCGGGTTTTCTCTACTAGTGTCATAGCACAACATACAAAAGCTAGTTTCAAAACTATGAAGCAGACCAGCAACACAAGCGCTATCTGCTAACAGTCACATTCTGTAGTTACGCTGACTCAGGTAGCGTTGCAGTCCTTTCCGGGCAGCTATGGTCTTGTCCGTGGCTACGGCCAGCTGCTTCTGAAGGCACCTGCAGGGTCTCGGTTTATGGCGAACTGCGCAACGTCACCTACCTAGGCGGCTATGCACACTGGGCCAGAAACTTGCGCATTTTGGGCCCCTTCCTGGGAAAACAAGAACTCAATCCGGAAACCGGAAACAAACATCTCACTGGTGTTCTTTCGGTACTGGAACTTGGGCGAATGCCACACCCACCCTTGAACGTTTCCTTCTATGAAGATGTTTTCTGCTGGTCAGAGCTGTCACTCTACTTCGACATTATGCTTCCTGTGAGAAAGTAAGTAGAAGTGCAATCGTAGTAGAGCGTAGACTGGGAACCCCTGCAATCCTGCACAATTCGCTTTATCATTTGGGAGTTACAATAGGGGAATCCCAAAGCCTACAAAAAAGCAAGTTGGCTCAACAGATTCTTCTTGGCACTTCTAAGAATATTTAGGTTTCGCACGGTCCAAACATTTGCCTGGCGCGTACGTCTCGGGAGCAGGTGCCGAGTGGCGTGGTGATGTGCACGTAGCTGGGCTCTTCTTTAGCGCTTTCCTGCACTTGGATCGTTTGGCCCGAAACCGTCGGTGCCACGAAAGAGAGGCTGGGTATTTCACCCTGTCGAACTCCCGGCTTAGGCCGAATTCTGGGGCCTACAATGTTCATTCCTTGAAAGCGATTTGGGCCCTGATAGGTATACACATATACCTACATAAAATTGGTCTATTTGTTTGCTTGTTATTTTGCAGGATTTTTGTATTTATCAGAAGATGCACGCAGCTTAAAAACACCAAAGCGCTTCCAGGACAATCGCACTGCCGAAGCCATCGGGGCCATCAGCAGAGGCACGGAGCAGGGGTCCACTGACCAGCTCAGTGACCAGCTCCACACAGCGCATCAAGTGCATCAGTGGTAATTTCTCTTGCTCCAATTCCTTTGGCAAATCATTGAACCATGATGTGATGGCGTGGGTGGTTCGGCCAAGGTCTTCTGCCAGGCATGTGGCATAATTCCAGCGAGTTAACTGAATATATCTGAATATGACAGTCGGTTAACGGCAGGTATCTAATCTGACAGTACCTCTGCGATTGCAATCTATGCACTTGCATGCCAAGCTCGTGAAAGCATCTCCTGGAGTTGCGCAGCTCAGAATTCAAAACTTTTAGTCGTCAAAGAACGAACTCATCTGATGCCGGACTTGGCAAGGAAGCTGCTTCTTCTCACATGGCTGTTCTCTGGGGCATCATCCCACGAATCTTATCGGGCCTGTGCGTCGCAAAGCGACAGCGCATCTCTGATCCAAACGCGGCAATGGGAGGACGACAAGTCTTTGAAAGCATGCCTAAGTTTCATCCATATCCCCAAGACCATGGGCGGCACCATTGAGGGTGCGTTGATCGAGGCCAACAGGATTCATTCAACATCAGAGCATCCGAGCTGTGCAGTGGCGGCACGCCGCGGCAAGATCCAACATCGGCTTTGGGGTGTATGTGATGACCGTATTCGCTGCTCAAACGCTTCTGGCTGGCCTTGGCAAGCGGGACAGCGCAAGTGGCCGTCATGCAGGGTCCCAGCCAGCCCTCCTGCCAGCACACCAGAAAGCATCCGTGAACTTGTGCACAAGGGCGTGGCTGGGTGCAGCCCCTGGCATTTCCCACCGGCTTTTGATGCCATTGTGGCTGCATCGTACATGGCAGACTGCGACTCCTTCTGCGTAGTCCGGGATCCAATGCTCAGGATGCTGAGTCAGTTGAGAACGATACACCAGTTGTCCGAGGTTTGCGACCCGGACATGCTGGAAAAATTCACCCGGAAAGCGCTGTTGCTCTTGGACCTGAAAAACGACTGCCATTTCGTTCCCCAGGTTTACTACGTCTTCCAGGACGGCGACCCAACGGCACCGCGGATATGTCGTCATATTTTGAAGTACGACGACATCGATTCTGGATTTCCCATGTTGATGGAAAAATACGGGCTTGGCCAAACGGCGCTGAGGAAGCACGTACACAAGAGTAACCATTGCAACGTAACACCAACCGCGGCCACAGTGCAAATGGTGAAAGAGTTCTACTCTAGGGACTATGAGGCATTTGGCTTTTCTGCCGAGCCAGTCATGGTGTCCCTGTAGAGCATGATGGGAAGTCCAATTCAACTTCGGCACTCGAAAAGGCGTGCACCACAGGGTTGCTCTTGAAACGATAACTCCCATGTCGCGTAAACCTGCCCTCACCATGTTAGAGCACAACGCTGTCAGGAGCCAAGCTGGCACCAGCGTTGGAGGCTTCCTCGCTGCACCTGCTTCTCGCCGCGGGCACCCCAGGGACAACGAGCCAGCAATGTGGAGGTTCCATTTGACCAGCCTCCCCCCCTGCCGAAATGCTGTAGAAACGGTCCACTGCTCTCCTTAGTGCCAGCATCTGTCTCGGCCTGAATCGTTCATTGCCGCAACAAGTTGCGGATGTCCTACGGCCCTACGGTTTCGGTCGGTGAGCCTAAATCTGAAGTGTTAGTTGCACGGAGTTTGCCACACTGTTGGCACTGCCAGTCGGCATGACATGCTCTCGGTGTACACATTTCAGAGTTGTCCGCAAGGCAAGGGCAAATCTGAACTGCTGGGTCTTGCCATGTCTTGCCGCTGCTAGGCTAGATCCGACATGCTCCTCACATGGAATGTTCTGGTGTCCTATGACTAGCGAAATCTGACTCGATGGTTGTGTGGATTTTGGCTGTGTTTCGGCAGAGGAACGAGTCCCAGATCGATCAACGCTCGGGACAAAGTTCAAGAAACGCTGTGTGAACCATGGATACGACAAACCCCATGCCCGTCCCTGCGAAAGGCGACAAACCCCATGCCCGTCCCTGCGAAGGGTGCGGTTACCTATTGGGAAGAGCAAATGTTACGACTTCTTTGTGAATCTTTGTGGAAACTGAACATGGGGAATCGACTTTGCAGACTGCTCCAATTTACTCGCGGTTACATGGGTGGGAAACGATGTTGTTATGACTTCTGTTATTCAGTGCTAAGACGGGGTTACATGGGGGAACGGCTCGCCCACCGTTTTTCGTTGTGACTTTGGTATTTGCGCGTAGAAAGCTCGCCATGTGCGAAAGCCGTTGTCACCCAAAAGCCTCCCACGCTTAGGGGCGTTGGAAGTGCCCGGGCCCCAGGAGCTCCATCAGGACCTGGGCCAGACCAGCGAAGCTCTTATCGCTTGGGAAGTGCGGCTCTCAGGTTCTCTGGACTCGAACGTCTTTCACGATCTTCTTCTGCAGTCAACAGTTTTTCCCGAGCCCACTGTCTGAGATCGGAGATTCAGAGCTCGAGCCGGGTTTCAGCATGCACAAGTCTGCATGCAATATTCCCGCTTCCAGATTTCTAGCTGTCCAGAACCCAAACGCCGGGATCTTACTTGCGCAAACCACACTCAGGCAGCGGCAACTCTGAATCCAGACAGCCATGACCTCGGGCAGGATCCGTCGTCTCAGGTTCGGGGCACAAGAGGGGTGTGTGGGAGCAGCTTGATCCCCCCAACCGCTCTCAAGTTCAGGCGATGGCCGGCTGTGACACTGCAAGCGCAGAGGGTTAAAGGTCTACGCATGCTCAGCGAACGGGTGAGCAAGGCGTTTCCACGTGAACTCGTGCCTTCTGCATCCTGAACATCAGAACAGACCCTAGTGCTACACACGCTGCTATGTTTGTTAACTACCAGTGTTGCATTATAGTTTCCCATCGTGCTTTGTTGTTCTCGAAGTAGTTGTCGTTGAGTCATCTTAGTACAGAGCAGCAACACTGGCGATGGCGGTGGATGACGGAGGAGGGGGAGGAGCAGGAAGCATTGTAGCCCCGATAGTTCTCCTCAGTGCGGTCTCCGCTGTCTCAGCCTGGGAGGGGTGACCACCGACCCCCCTTCCGGGAGTATTATTTTCTTGTTAATGCTGTGATTGGCAGCATTTGTATTACTATGATTGTGGGGAGAGGTGGCGGTGGTGACGCGGGGGTGGTTTCGGGCCTCAGGAACAGGAAAGGGCGGGGTACAGTGGTCAAGCTACCGCTCCCACAAAATGTAGAACTCCTATAGCCGGTGCATCGCTTCGTTGCTTGGGCTGCTTGTTGTCGCCGGTGGCGGTGGAGGCCACGACCGAAATCAGTGGCCTGCAAAATACCTTGTCAAGAGACAGGTCCGCGGATGACTCGGGACTAAGATGGTGAATGCAAGCCGTGCTTTGGGCATGAGCGAGAATTTTGGAACGGGGGTGCAAAGTCGGGGGTTGTTGTGTTGTTTACAGCAGAGTCAACAGCAATGAAGACGGGGCTCCAGATGTGGTCTCCAGCTATGCAACCCGTCAAAATCCTTTAGACTAGTCGCAAACCCAATCAGTCGGAAGGATTCTCCAAACCTTAGACAATCACGCCAAAAACCTCTCAAAACACCTGCTACAAACCCCCTTTGAAGGCTTTTGCAACCAGCTCCGAAGCCCATGCAGCCCCCTTTCCAACTTTGTAAGCCGATCTGTCATCCCTGCCTCTTGGTGTTGTTGCTTGCAGAAACTGGGGGGGGGGGGGGGAATCAATGCTGACGCAGCTGCTGTTTTACTGGTTGCGCCTGAAATAAAAGTTGTTATTATCAATAGTCTTCGTGTTGTTCTTGCTTGTTGTTCTTCGTCGGTTTCTTTTTGTCGTCGTCGTGGGCACGGTGGTAGTCATAGTCGTGGAAACCCTAGTCGCAGGAGCACCGGTTTAGGAGCGGCACAAAGTGGTACATACTGGCACTATCGTCTGTGAACCCTATAATATAATATAATATAATATAGGCTTCTTGGAATCTGAGGCCTGGCGGCCTGGCGTGGCCTGGTCGCTGCAGCTCGCCAGGACGTTCCTTTGCAGCTCCGTGCTCTGCGGCGATTGGCACTGCAGGGCCCCCGGAAGATGCCACGGATTTCGGAAAGCTTAAAGAGATGTCCCCTGCAGCGGTTGAAAGTCTATAGTCACAGGTTTGGCCACTCAAGATTTGGGGTAGACTTAGAGCATACCACAGCAAAGCCGTGTCAACACGAGTTTGTTCTTGGAAAACGGAGGATGTGACGGCCACACTTTTGGGGGCCTCCAAAACCGATGCCAAGCATTAGGAACATTAGGATCTGAAGATCCACACCAAAGCTGTGCAAAGGGTGAGCATGGCCAGCAACATGTTGGTAGCCGGTGCCGCGCCTGACAAGAAGCATTTGGGAATGGGTCGTGGGAGTGGGGGTTTTGGAAGAACCGGTGGGCGGATCTACGTGGACTCGTGAGATGCTGTCGCAGCTCAAGAGCTGTTGCTTTTTTTTTGGCCGTGGGCCGGGCCGAGGCTGGAGCCAGGCAACGCTGAGTGGCATGCGCAGCTGGCGGCCACAAAGCTGGTGCGCCTTTTCTCCGTGCAACTTATCTTAGATCGCGAGAAGTGTGTCCTGGGTCTGCAGGCGACGACTCATGCGTCGGGCGATGCTGAAGCGAGTAAAGAGGTGGAGGCATGTCCCTTTTCAGGGTCCGGACCTGCAGGCAGAAATTGTTGCGTAGCAGGTGGGGGTAGAGTTGCCAGGCTGACTTGGACCGTGCGCTGCGGCTTTGTCCAAGCAACGCCCTGGCTTTGGAACAGAAGGCGGGGTGAAGGCAAGCGGAGTGTGCGGCCTTGCATCTGAAGCGACGGAGGTGCACCCACACCAATCGGACACGCTGTCGCAGTCCACTGATATAAGCATGCCTGTCACAAGAATTGCCTTCAAAGCTGTTCAAGCTTGTTCAAACAAATATGCTAAATATGCACCAGTCGCTAGATGCTTCGAGGGTCAGCTTTGTCCCATGGCATCCCGGAATCCCTGAGGCATTGATGATGGAAAGGGCCGGGAAGGCTACTCAGCAGTCATGAGCATGTCAAGCATGTTCCCAAGATGTGCTTATCTTTACCTCTTCTCGTTGCTACCTGGAGGATGCACAGGCACTTGACTTCATCGAGGTTGCTGCCAAAGAGAACAGAACCTCCAAGGATCCATCTTGTGGCTACAGACCTTTGCAGCTGCCATGCCTGATTCATGCCTCAGTGGAATAGTGAATAGGGTCTGAGATTCCGGAAAGTGCACCAGGAAGTCTTGGAGGCTGCAGCAACTGCTCGATGGAAGCGTGGACACTTTCCTGAGGCAGTTATCTGGTATCAGGACAGGGCATCTCACTGCAGCGCAATGGTGGCTTTCGGTTTTTCTTCAGAAACTCATGAGTTGTGCTGCTAGGTTATTGCCGCTTGGGGGTTTTTGTGGTTCGGGGCAGGGTGTCAGAAGACTTTGTCTTAGCTTCAGCTAGCAAGACCCACAATCCCCACAAGCAAAACTTCTGTCTCAAGCTTTTGCCTCCCAGACAGGGAGCATGAGAAGACAAGAAACCAAGGCTTGAGAAAATGAAGCTAATCGTCCAACAGGTGTGTTTCAAGCCTGGGGTTCGGTAAACAGGTTCAGACATGTTCAGACTCGGTCTAATGCAATGCAGCGAGGCAGGATTCCGGGGCTCTGGAAGCCTTTTTGCTTCTATGACCTGCGAGAAACAGCAGCAATTGAGTTTGGGGACCTGTGCGACGTCTGAATGCATGCTGTGACTGGTACACAGTCGCCAGAAGAGAGCCAAGGGCACGTGAAGGGTTGGGTCCAAAGTCAGAGGCGTTCCTCAGCCGCTGAAGTTCCATCAGACGTGGCTTTAGCAGCGAGACCTGAAAACTTTGAAAGCCACCAGAGCGGAATCAGTAAGGCTCCCTTCTCGCAAGAGAATCCTCATTGAAGCTCGTGCCGTGCGGCAGGAGCTGGAGCACTTGGACTCAGAGAATTGCCTTTGGCCCGCTCGATTGGCCCAGGCAGCTCTTGCGGAAGCTGAAACTGCATGTTGCCCACTTGCCACGCTCGTTCTTGACTCTCATCTGGATGGCAGCAGGCAGCATTGCGTCAAGGCCAAGTGGCGAAAGCGTTCGGCACCCAGCCGGGTGTGGGCTGCAGAGCATCAAAAGCCATTGCTTGGAGCCGAATCTTGGCTCAAAACGGCTGGCTTCAGTTTGAGGTCAAGCATGACGCCCCCTCCAGCCTGAAAGCACTGTCATGTAGGAGTCCTCATGCTTGTCTCCACATTTGTGGTTGCCTGTTGCCTGTCGACACCAAAACTCGCTTCATCCCGCTTCCCCATTCAAACTGTACCCAAAACTACTCCCGCGTCGATCGAACTATTTGCGGTCTTGTCACTGTGCTGGGACATTACCTTTGTCTCGTGTGTACTGAAACTGGGGTTGATATTATAGTAATAGTTGAACTGCGTTGAACAAAAGTGTTGATGTGTGCGTGTGTATACATGTATGTATCCCGCATACATATAATGCCTTTATAGAGAAGAAGGTGTGTATGCATGTACAAGTCATAAAGATGTATGACACTGATTGTCTCGATTCGCTGCCCCCCACCCTCTTTGTCCGACGCGTCCGGGTCCTAAGGTGCCGAGGGCTACAAAAGCCGCCAGCAGTCAAGGGGATCGGATCCTTCCAAAATCGTCCAATCCCTTTGACAGTTGACCTGTTGTAACCATGCGGCGAATGCCAACGTCCAACAAGTGACACCTGTCACAAGGATTTTCTTCCGGACGTGCCTCCAAAGCGACAACTGTGACGAAGATCGTTGCCCTGACAACGACAGTGTGGCTTACCCCTGTGCCCGGGGCTTCCTCGTGGTCAGTTCGGGGGGAAGCTCTGCAGTTTAGACATACTCGAGTTTGTGCTCTTAACTTCAAGCCACGCTTGTAGGAGATTGGTTTGGGATTTTGTAAACAGGTGGCCCGCAAGGAGCGGGTGGCCACCCCCGCAGGCGGCACCTGGTAAACCAACGCGTGGTGTGTCTCATCTAGCAACAAGTAGGTACGTGCGGCTTAGGGTTGTGACCCCAAGACCGTAACCTTCTTAGACCAGACAATGCGAACTGATACTCATGCATGATCGCCTGGCGAGTGTGCCCGTGTTCATGCCAGGTCACCGCGTCACTTCATCTCGCCCGTCGTCCACATCCTTCTTGATGTTTTCGGACATATATTCGAGCAGCCCTACGCGTGCATGGCGTACATCTCGAAGTTCTTCCTTCTTTATTGAATTTGGCGCCTAAGGCTTTAGGCTTAGAGGCTGGGAGGCGTAATAGAAATTCAGACCCGCTTTGCCTCTACGAGACATGAATCGAGAGTCGTCACCAATTGGCAGAACACATTCGACGGTCATACAAGCATGTATACAGACATAGAGGACCGCAGAAGTGTATATAAACTATACATAAGCTAGTACATATGCACAAGCCGTACCTGTAAAGATGATGTTGAGTAGCAGCTGCATCAGGCAGGCCTGGCTGGTCTCAGCCGGCGAGAGGCTGAAACGTGCCGAGAAGGCAACATCCGGTCAAGCAGCATCGCCAGCGTGAGGATGGCTACATGGCATGATCAACATTCGAGCTGCTATTGTTAATGTTGCGATCACTGCTGTGAGTCTGCTGAGACGAGCATTGCCTGTGTTGTGACTCTGAGCCTTCAGCTCTTTTCTACTTATATCCGCGACGATGGTATAACAAACTGGGCAAAAGAAAGGGTTCCGCCAAGAAGCACTTTGCCCACTTTTCTGGCGACGTGGCCTTCTCAAAGATAAATCCCATTGCAGACTAGGTTGATATGTGAAGGATGACTGGATGCTGCATACCAGAACCGCCCACTCTTCTTGCAGTGTGCTGAACTACCGCTTTTTGCATTCTCGACACTGTCATCTGTGATACCCCTTTGTCATTGCCAGCCTCGGCGGTTTCTCACCATACATGTTCAAGTGATTTTCGCTGAACTAGGAAACTCAACTGTGTCCTACCGCAGATCTCCTTCTGCAATCAGCAACCCGGGAGGCGATTGATCAACCAAAGCCACTAGTCGTGGCTGAAGTTCGAAGCTGGCTGGGCTACGGACAGCCTGCACAAGGGCTGCAAATGGCTTGACTAGCGTACCGCTACGAGATTACGATTGATTTGTGATCTCTGTGTTTGTCCCAATGCGTCCGTCTTGGCTCGAGCATTTGTGCTAGCAAACGATTTGACCTGACCAGCCTGGCTGCAGCGATGTCCCAGAAGAACCTCAAGAAGCCTCAGTCCAAGCCCAAGGCATCCGACAAGGAGGAGAAGCAAAAGGAGGATGCAGAGCTGGACATTGAAGCTTTGGCGAAAAACTACAAGACCAACCTCAAGAAGGGCCTCACCGGCAAAAAGGCTGCTGAAATCCTGGAAAAAGATGGTTTGAATGAGTTGGAGAAGCCGCCCAAGCCAACTCTGCTGATGCTCTTCCTCATGCAGCTCACGAGCTTCATCATCATCCTCCTCATGGTGGCAGCCGTCGCCTCCATCCTTGTGAACGCCACGGGCCCCAAGGCCGCAGACCCCCTCTCATACACCACAGGCATTGCTATCGGAATCATTGTGCTGATCAATGCCGGCATTGCGGCATGGACAGAGCACAAAGCTGGCGATGCTCTGGAAGCGCTTTCGAAGATGACGCAGGCCAACATCTACGTCCTTCGTGATGGAAAAGAGGTCCAGATACCAGTTCCAAGCGTGGTGTGTGGCGACATCGTCGTCTTGGGAACCGGCGACGTGGTGCCTGCAGACCTGAGGCTTTTCGAGGCTAAGGACTTCAAGGTCAGCGAGATGGCGCTCACAGGCGAGCCTGATGACGTTGCCAAGACCTCGAAGGTGAAGGAGAAGAAAGATGGTCAGCCCGAGAAGCTCACGCCCGAGACCATGGCATTCTCTGGCTGCAGCATCACCAGCGGCCTTGGCCGTGGCCTCGTCACGGACACCGGCATGAACACCCGCATCGGTCGCATCGCCAAGCTGATCGCTGGCGAGGATGGAGGTCAGAAGACCACTTGTTTCTGTTTCCCGGACACCTCTGGAAGCCAAACACCCCTGCAGCAGAATCTGAACAAGCTAGGCGCACGCATCGGCATCCTTGCCATCGCGATTTGTGTCGGTATTTTCATCATCGGCTGGGTCTCAGATCGCAAAGACCCCTCGAGTCCTGACAGCGCGGCCTGGCTCTACATGATCCTGGTGTCCGTGACATTGGCAGTCGCCGCCATTCCAGAGGGCATCCCACTTTGCGTCACGATCTCCCTTTCGATCGGATGTTCGGACATGGTAAATCAGGAGGTGCTGGTTCGGAAGCTTGCTGCAGTGGAGACTCTGGGTTCGGCTTCTGTGATCTGCAGTGACAAGACGGGAACGCTCACCGAAGGCAAGATGACCATGGTTGGCATGTACACTGCCGGAGTGACATACGATGTGACAGGCAAAGGATTCGACCCGGAGGTAGGCCAAGTCCAGCGCAGTGGCAGCACGTCCAACAGCGGGAAGGACATGGGCGTGAAGAGCAATCTGCTTGCAGCCATCTTGTGCTGCAACACGACACTCTCGAAAGAGAAGGATGAGGAGGGAGTGATGAAGTGGACACCCAAGGGCAACTCGTCCGAGGCGCCGATCGTGGTCGCCGCACGCAAAGTCGGCTTATCGGAGAAGATTGCCGACGAATACCCTCGCGTGCTGGAAGTACCCTTTTCGTCCTCGCGGAAGATGATGCTGACGGTGTCCCGCGTGAAGGGTGCAGAGCTTTGCCCGGGTGGGATGCCGCTGCCCGCAGGCACCAACTACTTGGCCGTGTGCAAGGGTGCGCCCAATTACATCATTGACCTCTGCTCCGAACAGCTCAAGGAGGATGGCAGCGTCGCGAAGCTCACGGACGATGACAAGAAGGACGGGCTGTTAATTTATGCTAACGCACTACCAATTGACCCGCGGGTTATGCTTGTTTTTGCTTGTTTGTGTTTGCTTCTGGTGTGTTGGGGGCGGGGGCTAATTTCGTTCTGTCTGACGACGTCCAATACCGAGCAGCTCAGTGCTACTAGTTGTACTTTTAGTTCTGCTGCACTAACCACCCTTGCTTCTGCTTCCGGTGTCTTGGGGGAGGGGGGGGTGGTAGTTTCGATCTGTCTGACGACATCCATTACCCAGCAGTCCAGTGCCACTAGTTGTACTCTTGGTTCTGCTGCACTAACCACCCTTGCTTCTGCT